AGTTTTTAAGACTGACTGCCATAGTGGTTACTTTTATTTCTATTTCCTTGCATTGGCGAGGTGGAACACAAATATCAATAAGTTTTTCATAGTTTTGATTGAAGTACCACTGGAAATCTAGTTGAAACTTGCAGAGTTTGTGGAAATGCCAGTGTAGTAGGGGATATTCCAGGTGTACTATAGAAATACTACTAGAAGCATAACTTGGTTTCCATAGTGGTTACAGAAATATCAGTGTATAAATTGTGGGGTTTTGGAACAGCAATTGAATTGCCAGTGAAGATGCCACAGGCCTAGATCAATGGAATGAAAACACCAGCAGATGTATTCCATGTCTTGGCAATGCATCTGAAATACCAATGGAGCTATAACTTGGTTAACAAGCAGATTGGAAATACTAGGGGATAGGCTGGAGTTTCCACAGTTGTGGCTTAAATACCACTGGAAATATGGTTGGTTCCAGGAGAAGGATGTGGAAATGCCAGTGCATATGAAACATTTCCCAGGTCAGCCATAGAAATACTGCTGGAAGTATTATGTAGTTACGCTGGTGGTCACAGAAATACCAGTGTATAAATGTGATCTTCTGGAACAGCAGTTAAAATACTCCTGGAGTCAACATCTAGTTTTGCAGAAGTCACAAAATACCAGTGTGCAAGTGAACCTTTTTGTGGATGTCGATGGAATATCAACAGAGTCATAATTCAGCCTAGCTGAGCTGGCAGGAATACTGATGGCTTAATAACTTACACCATATTTTTATCTTGCATACTGATGTAGACAAAATGCAGTTTTGAATATGCTGTGGAAACATCAGCAGGTAAACACATTACATCAAACCTCACATAGACTTACCAGGGAATATCATTTCTGAATAGCAGAGGTTGTGAATCACATTTTCCACAGTAAAAATGTTCTTGAAACTAATTAGGAAAATGTATATTCCAGGGTATACCAGTTGTTCTCTAGGTATAACAGAATTACTTGTGGGCGAGGTGGCATAGCAGATAAAGTGCCTCTCACTACAGTTATTCAACAATGGAGGCCCTTTTGGGTTATACCCTGAGTTTAACTCCCACTGTTGGAGAATAACAACTTTAGACACTCCATTAATTTCACTGCTATCCAATTGATTTGTACAGATCAGTCTCCAAAAATTTCACCCCCAAACTGCCTTAAGTGGCACAACATTCTCACACTGTCCAACAGGGTTGCTATATGTGACATTACAACTGGATCAAGTATGGTTGTCCAGAATTTCATCTGACACATGGTTCTCTGAAAATAGTAGGCTCCAGCAGGGGTCCCAGGCTTGGTGATTTTGGGTGGTCACCAGCAGCCTGCACAGAGTGGTCAGCCATCTAATTCCACCACAGCACACCTAATTGAGTAGAAGGATTGGATCAGGGGGGTTCACTACAGCATTGTGCGCTGATGTAAGTCAAGTCACAATCAGTATTGAAGGGTTTGGATCAAGCTTTGTTGTCTGGGTGGCTGTGAAAGGTTTCCATTAGAAGCTGGTTCATGATTTACAGCATTTAATATTGCGGGTTCTGGGGGTTGTATGCTCTTGCTTATACGTTCACATGGGTGCATTCTGGATAGCCACTGTTAGTCACGCTTTCCTGTTATGTTAATACTAGTACTACACAGATATGAATCCATCAGCAATTTAGTCCAAACCTGTGATCAAACTGGCACTGTTTAGTCTACCTGTCACTGAGCTGGCGAGTCTGTTGCCTCTGTATCCCGTACAACACATACCCACTATATACCAAATGTGACTTTTCTGGTATTTCACGCATGCACTTGCCCCAGAAACCTAAACACGCGAAGTTGCAGAGCAAATACCGTGCAGAACAAGCACTTTCACATTTTGGTCAGCCCGTGAGAAAATTCACACCCGCGGGAGAACGCGCCTGGTAGTTCCAGCTCACTGGCAACGTGCCTGTCTGGCCTGTTGTCCTTGCATAGGTGGGCTGATACTATCTGTCTGTTCTGGCAGACCACTGCGGCCATGTATAGCCTAATCAAAATTGAAGCACAGTTGTAGTAGTTATACTAGTCCAAATGCTACATTGATCTTGATACTCTTAATCTTAAAAAAGCGCGAGACATCCCTCACATCAGAGGGCATCGACCCCCAAACTGAACTCCCTGATTCCTGAGTCACAGTCTCCGAGTTTGGCGAGACCAGGGTTGGAACACTGGCACCTGGAGACCCCGCTGGCGCCATGGACCCGCCCAGTACTAGTAGGGGACGGCACTCCCCTGGAGTTAGCCCTTGAGGCACCCCGTGATCCTTTCTGGTAGCTGCACGCTCAGCTAAGAGCCTTGCGGCCCTGCGACGTCTCTGAAAGGCAGCCGGAAAGGTCAATAATTGACAAAGTGTAGGCACAAGAGTCCAATGTTGCAACACGTACCATTGGTTCCTTTAGCATGAAGACTCTGTTAATCCTTATCCTGCCACTTTTTGACCCAATAGTTTGTATAAATAAATATAAAGAGCTTGATCAATATTTCTCATCTCTTTTGCCACCCAATAATGGATCATTGTGCCTACATATAGATCAGCTTGAGTGTTAGAAAATATGAGTAGGAAAACTCATGCCAACAGAAGATTTATTTAGAGCCATAGTATTGTAAGATTCAGCAGTCAAACTCACCATTGTATTGCTTTTGTTAATAGTCACAACATGTCCAATGCACCACTTGTGGTGATGTGCCCCAGCAACTTGGATTTCTTGACCTATTAGGGGAAGCATCACATGTTCCTGAATAAAAATAGTGGAAACCATGTTATATCACAAAACTCAGATGTAGATAGAACCTTGGGTCTACATGCATATGCAAGCTGAGTCATAGGTACAAAATCAGCCCATGTGTCAGCATCAGATACACCCTGAGGTCCAGTTGATGCTTGTAGTGTCATTGACTCATCATGAACTACTTCCTTTGATTCAGCTGTGTCATAGATGTCAGGATACTAATATGTTATAGTAGAGTGTAGATTAAACTTACTGTTGCAACCATTAAATATATTCAAGCACCCCAAATAGATGTGAAACTATAGATGCAGCCTTATGTTTGAGCCATAATAGTGGTGTTATTGATATGTATTGTCTGTCATGATCTATCTCCTTGGATTCAGCTGTATTATAAACAAAGTCAGGACACTAGTCTGGTACAGAATACCAATAACACTTACACTTGTGCCACCTGCAAATGTATCCACTTGACCCAACCATAGGTGGTGGGGATGGGAACTACATGTTACTCAACACCACAGCAATTGTTATCTGAATTCCTGAGAAAATTGAGGTAATGCACAAAAGCTGTTTTTAAAAGATTTTCCAGATTACACTTAACCATCCAATTCAATTATTTCCTTGATATCTTGTTCTGTGTTGAATGTTAATATATGGGTGCTCTTTATTCAAACTGCAAGGGGAATGGCAAGAAAAATGGCACAAATCTCTGGCACTACTAGTAGAAGGCTCAAAAAAGGACAATGAGGGATAGAGATTAGAAGAAAGGCCAAGACTTGATTGTGAATTGAAATACTTGACCTAGCTTAGAAACTCAGAGCTCAAGAGCCAAACATATGGTTTACTAAATCCTGCTGTTTTTCCCTGTCTGTGTCCTGGTCCCATATTACCTGCCACACAAACTTGTTGTCACTTCAGCTGACCATCTCAGCAGTTCAGGATAACACAGAAAAGATTTGACTCTACACCTTCCAAACAATCCTGTTGAATTCAAACCAAAAGAAACAGGATATTCCCAATAACAGTCTAAATTCCTCCATGTTCCACCTGAGCAGACTGTTGTTTTGCAACATGCTAGCCAGTCTTTGTACAGACCATCAAGCCCAAGCTTGATATCAAGTACTGATATGGCAGTGCACTCATTATTGGTGTGTAAGTCCCCAAACAAAAAAATGCTACACATGCTTATTGGAACTGTCAAATAGTGTTGTGCATGTAGACAGGTACATTAACAAATAACGCAGCTCATTTTCTACTTCCATGTATGCTTGTGTTATAAGTCTTGTCTGTAGCATGGCTTGAATGTTTGTTCTCTGTTGTGATAGTCAGCAACATATCCAGAGCCATCCAGTTTGTCCTTCAAAAACTTCACAGATGAGTCTTTCTTAAAGCATCTTGACTGCTCATATTGGTTGATGCAGAAAGTAGCCATCTTCTCAGTGTGTGTGACAGATATCAATCCTCAGGCACATCTACCTGGTTCAGAAGGTGCACCGGAGGAAGTTGAAGTGGTGTGATGCTGGATCAATGGGGATGAACTCAGAGCTGGGAGACAACTTAAAACACTTGCAATCTCAGTGGCCTGGTTTGGTGGCATAATGTGCCAAGCTCTTTACACTTGGAAAGAGCCTGCATAATCATGTGGCAATCATGTGATAAAGAGCCTCTCCATATGATCAGCACATGATAATGCTGGCTGTGTGGTCTACTTCACAAAAAAAATACACTACTTGATGTGAAGCAGGAGCATGTTCCCTTTCCGGACTTCAATCTAGGCTCGTGACCAGTCTCCTGTATGCATTTCACAACAGGGTAAAGTAGCACCCAGCACAAGGGCTCCAGGTGATGACAGTAGAAATTATGCACCATGCTTTTCATTTGACTTGCTTGTACCACTCACAGACAGGCACTGCAAACAAATCAAAGGTATCATGCTAACACCAGCAATATCTAACATAATGGTAGTTCACATAAAACCCCCTCCTATATCTGCAAGGGGTACAAAAAAAATGGTTCATGGTTGGTATCATTCAAGAGTGGTAGATTCATGGAGTCATTTCCACTTTGGTAACATGGCCTCGCAGTGTCAATGTACTGGACAGCTTCCTTGTAGCTTATTTTGAGGGCTCATAGGATTTTTTGGTGCTCTTGACTGCAAAGCTATGTTCAACCCATTCAAGATGGTCTTGATCACCAGATATCCAGAGCTGGATAGGATACCATCTCCTTGGATTAAGTGGGATGAGCAGAAAGCTGAGCAATAGAGTGTTTGTTGTAGGAGGCTGTGTGGCATGATTACACATGAAGCACATATATGAGTGTAGAACACTTACTCAACTGTGCGTGATATTGGAGTGTCATTATCTTCCAGTACAAGATGGACATGAACACATGGCAGAAGTCATTTGTGAGATAATCATAGGCCTCCTCAGGCACTGCAAGAATGGGCCTGGTAAGATGTGTGGTATTGTAATGGTAGAAGTATCCCCCAGTAAAGACAGATGGGACAAGGGTGTACACAACATGCACTCCAGGAGGCTGAAACCTGCAACATCGTGTCATCAATTGAAATGGGCATACATGATGAGAGCATGCACATGACATTGCCCTCTTTGAGGGTGACAGTGACCATGTCTATTGATGAAAAGCTAGCCTCTGTTTCATCACCCCTATCCTCGTTGAGAAATTTCTGCTTGAGTAAATTAGTGAACAATGCAGGGCTCAGGTCTTTCCATTCCGCTTTTGATTGGCCTCATCACAGCCCATATCTTGCATCCAGGAGCTCCGATGATGTAGGTGCACTGCCCACAACAGTCAAAGTGGGGTATTGAAACCATGCCAGGGTGAGTGATGAGCCTCCAACCCATGCCACTCCACAGTCCTGTGCGGACGGTTTCTTAGGCCCCAAGAAGTACCTTTCTGTGGCACTCGACCAGAGATCCTGGTTTTTTCTTGTTAGCCCCCCCCCCCACGGTCTGGTTGCCAAGTGATGAAAATGAGATGTGTGTTCCCAAGCAGCCACTGAATGCAGAACTGGCTGTGCCCAGGGAGGCAGAGATGGAGCAATGCTCTGGGAGTCAAGCAGATTGCCCCAGATGCTGGTATTATCAGTGAGCTCTAGGAAGTCACTCAACGTGCTTTGTCAATGAATCTTCTGCTCCAGCTCCAGTCGGTACCAAACCTTGGTTTGTTGTACATGGTCTACCCAGGACCACCTCTGAGCGGGTCCCCAAGGTGTATGGCAAGCGACTCCAAAGAGCATGACACTGGAAAGAAATCCTTCCATCTTCAAACAACAACCAATTTTAAGTCAGCCATGTGTGTTCCAATTTTGGACATGAGAGTTCTCCATGCCCAATGGCATTCCTGGTTGGAGTGGTCTCTCAGAGAAGCAAGGGCTGGAGGCAGTGTGAGCTCAATTACCATGTCTTGAACCAAGTGAGAGTCAGGATTGTCTCTACAGGGCATATTGGGAGAGTCCTGGAAAGAGGGTCTAGCTGCTATCACTCTGACTAGGTCTCCTTCATAGCCTGTATGGTTCATCAGTAGTGTGTTGACTAACATGGCATTTATTTGGGTGACTTACAAAGTCTCTGTCATATCTCCCGGAAAAGGGTGCATATGTGTAGAAGTCTTCCCACCATCTAATCTTCTCTGATGTGGACAGGAACCCCCTCATGGTCTTGACAAGCAATCCTTGAAAGGGTATGTCAGTATGATAAATGCCTTCCGGTTGTTTTATGCCCAGGTGAAAATAACAACTTACAGCATCAAGACCTCTCCTATCCCTGGCAATATCCATTTGGGGTGCTAAACCTTTTGTGGGTATTTGAGCCAAGATGAACGGATGAAGAATTACCTGGCTGAATGCTCTGAGGTTGCGCCTCAGAGTCAGGACAAGGTTGTGATTGAATGTCAGGCATTGGTTTTATCAATGTCCATGAAAATGGATGAATGACTTACTGGTTTCCCTGTGGTTGAAGTACAGAAGTTCAGCGTTAAAAATATCAAGTTGTAATACCCTTTAAAACAGTCTAAAAGCTCTTGCATTGGGGAATGCAGATGAAGGCATCCACATGTGTTTTGGCAGCCAATATGGAACTCCATGGTGAGAGAACGTCAAATGAACCTCATCCCGTGATGAATGGCAGATGCAAGTGTCTCTCTCACCAAACAACAGGAACAATGTACCACCCCTTGTCTCCATAGATGGAGAATATTGTGTCAAGAAGTTCATAAGAAAGTCACCCAGATGTGGTGCTGTAGGGAAAATCTTGCAGGTGTTGACAAGAAAAAGAGTCAAAGAGCCACTGCCAAGGCCTGTGACATAATAGTATAGAATGTGAGCATAATCTTTGTAGTCCAGCCAGAAAGTCTTGTCCATTTTGATCAAGACTATGAAAGGAAGCAGCAGACTCAGGATTATCCTAGGGTTTGGACTTCATTGACACATCCCTAATTGAAGATCTGATGGAGCACAGCCACAATGTCTGCCCCTATTTGTGCAATGCACTGCGTGTTCACCCACTTGCCCTCCACAGCACTATTGTAAACCCGTGACTCACTGGCCAAGGAGGCTGCCACAAACATTGCAGCTGCTGTTCAGGGTGCCAACAAGGCCTTGGTTGCAACTTTGAACAACCTGGATGCTGAGCTTGACAAAAACCTGGGGCAATGGTGGCTCCCCATCTCCCACTGGTCCAATGATGAGGAAGCTCAAGGTATACACGGTCATCGTTGTTTTAGTAATCTCCTCATCTAGTTGACCATTATGCATGTCTGCCAGGATTTGAAGGCAGATGCACAGATCTGTGATCTATATATTGGTGCGTGTACATATTGTAGTTTTGTGGCTGGCATGTGCAGTGGGGTCATTGCAGAGAAGATAGCATGGCATGTTATACAGACTCAGTAGCAATGTTGTGCACAAAATTAAAGCAGCAGAAGCAAAAGACAACTATGAGTGTGGAGGTGCTGGTAACAAAATGGCTACAAAAAAGGTGTTAAGTCTTTTGTGGTGGATACTTTGGTGCCTACCAAGTCAGTAACTACTAGTCTATCATATGACCCTGGGTTCTAGGGAATGGACCTGTACAATTGACATTATGTGATATACTCTGAGCCTCCACATAGATGCCACATCGTTTTACAAGTGAGTAGCAAAAAAAAAGTTCTCATGCATGAGGGTTTTTGTGGAATGGTAGGCTTTATCAATAGTGAGATCTATTTTCTTTGCTGCATGTTAGTGACCATACTGCAGGTGCTCCATGGTGCTATATACCCACACTTTTCAGATATCAAGAAGAACACCTTTGTGCAATTCACACCCAAAACCCTGCTCTCACCCGTATATTCCCTTCTGTGTACCCTGCAATCACATTCAATGTGGAAATGGTATTGTTTTCTGCAGGCATTGTGACCCAGCAGACTTATAACTATGATCCCAACAAAGGAGAACACTGTAAAAAAAAACAAGTGTTTGGAATCTTAGTCTTAAATGGTATACTGAAATGTAGCTGACATGTGTATCTTCTCTCTATGTGCAGAACACCATCCCAGAATGCATGTGCCGAGCTTTTACCCAAGTGGTTGTCTATGTCTGGGTGCTGAAAATCAACGAGCCTTGACATGTAAAGGTATACCTCAACACACAATAGCTGAGTGGTTGCAGCGCTCTGGGCACTACACAAGGCTTTAGGTCTCACACAACTGGCAAGTACTTTACCTGTGCCTACGCTCCCTCTGCAATCACGCCAATCACACTGCCAATGTGCTCAGGTTGCCCTCTTGTGCTGGATTGCTGGGGATTGAGCCCTAGATAGCTGGATTAGTGCCTGTTGGCTGTTTTTGGGCCTCTTTGGTGTGTTTCTGTCGCTCTCAGCGCTCTCCCTGCGCGCCCCTCGCTGTCCCTCGACTCCACGTCGCTCCTGGACGCTCTCTGCACCCCCTCCTCGTGCCTCATCGCTTCCCATCTCCTCACCATCTCCTCACCTCCTCTCCTCTGCTGCTGCACCCCTTGTCCCCTCGCTCTCCCATCGTCTTCTACACCTCTTCCTCGTCCCCATGCCCGACGCCGACGCCTCCAAGCATATCAAGGCCCTCACCAAGGACAACTATGCGTCCTGGGCTGTGGACTTCAGCGCGCTAGCTCGCTCCAAGGGGTTCTACAGGCTTTTGAAGGGTACTGAGATGCGTCCTCAGGATCCTGACAAGGCTGAGGACTGGGATACTCGCCAGGAGAAGGCAGCTGGCGAGCTCATGCTCTCCCTGTCTGAGGAACAACGCATCCATGTCAAGGGCAAGGAGGATGATCCCACTGCTATGTGGGACGCTCTCCAGGCTGTCCATCAGCAGAAGATCCCTGGCACTCGCTTCAATGCCTTCGACGACTTCTTCGCCCTTAGGAAGCGTCCTGAGGAGTCCCTCAGCTCCCTCATTGCTAGGGTGGACACCCTCTATGCCAGGATCAAGGATCTTCGCCCTCCTGCCTACACCCTCGACTCTCTGGACCAGGAGCTGGCCTGCATGGCGCTCATTCGTGCTCTCCCTGAGGAGTACTCCCACTTTGTCTCTGCCCTCATGCTCCAGTCCACTATGGACAAGGATGCTGTGGTGCAAGCGTTCATCCAGGAGGAGAACAACAGGACTTGACACTCTACAGCGCCCCCTTCGACGTGCTAAGAACGAGCTCAAGGCCCAGTCGAGCTCTAGGAAGCCTGGCAACCAGCCTGGTCGCTCTCAGCGTGCCAACCAAGCCCAGGCAGTTGCTCCCAGCGCTCCTGGCACTTCCTCCACTGCTCCTGTCCCTCCCTCGGCCTCTCAGGCCGTTGTGGAGTATGCTGGCAATGCAAGTCTTCGCTCTTCTCCTTCCCCCACCAGTCCCACCTGTCCTCTCCAGCTCGATGCAGACGCTGACTGGATTGCTGACACAGGCGCCACTTCTCATATGACCCCTCACCGTCACTGGCTGCGCTCCTACACGCCCATGCGCGTCCCAGTTCGCCTTGCTGACCACACTGTGGTCTACTCAGCTGGTGTAGGGTCTGTGGTGTTCTGTCCTAGGGTGGGAGGGAAGGAAGCGAGGGCTGTAGAGTTTAGTAGGGTGCTGCATGTACCTGACCTGCGCTCCAATCTCCTCTCTGTACTCTATCTTACTCGTCATCATGGCTTCTCT